AACATCAAGAGTATCAACAAAGCGTGGACGATCTCTGGCAAATCTTTTAATAATTCATTTATTAATATAATTAACCTGTCTATTAATATTCATTCATTCCTCTCTACAACAACTCGCTAACGCTAACCTTTCAACTAGGCTTTGACCAACTTGATATCCTAACATTTCTAATTTATAAAATACGGCTTCTTTATCATTTTCAGAATCTGTGGTTGTGCGAAACATTAGATCCACCATTTCCATAATCAAGAACTCTAAACATGCTTCATTAACAAAAAGTTGTTTTTGCTCCTCGTTGGATGATGTTGAAGTAGAATTTGTGGTAGAACCATCATCTCCTGAAGCTAAAGAGCTGAAAAAAGGGGTGATTGCTGAAGAGGCTGATTGAAGGACTGACATTTTTATCTAAAAATATGTAAAAAAATTATTTTTGTTTCTTTTATTTCTTTTATTATAGACTATTTGTGTAATTTAGAAATAAATTTTAATTTTAAATGATTTTTTTAAAATACATACATACATACATATATACAAGATAGGGGTGGGACCTCTCAGCGTAAGTTCTTTGATGAAACATCAAATGATCCATATATTACAAATGGAGGTCTTGTATACGCGATCCTATATTCTATTTCTCCATTATTCATGGTTATTTTGATCACAATCAAGTATTTGTATATTTTGTATCTTTATATGCCACATGTACTTGTATGAATTTATGGTATCAATATGCGTAAAGAACTAGATGCATTTTTATTATTATACAATCAGTTTGGAGGAATATCATATTAAATGTTTTAGTATGATCTATAGAAGTGCAAATATTATATGATTACATCATTTCTATTTCCACTTTTAATTAGCATTAGAATGTATTTACTGTATGTGTTGTATATATATCACTCTGTCAATTAATTGTTTTTCATTATTATCAAGTTCCTGGCCCATATTTTTGTTTTTATACCAACCACAAATTCCATTTATTTTTGTTACCCTTCAAAGTTGGAATACTTTATCAAGTATATTTGGAATTTATTTTCCACGTAAGCTCCATTTGAGTTTTATATTAGTTTTTTTTTATTAAACAATTATTAAAAATAACAGTTTACTTGTATATTGCTTAAATTACTATAAGTTTTGATAATATTTCAACCAAATATTTTCAAGTAATAACATCATTGGAGTTTGAGCTCAATGCAATATCAATGGTAATTTTATTATTATTATTATTATTATTATTATTATTATTTTATTTAGAGGAGATATAATTCAGAATGAAATATATTTAGAGAAGTATAGAAAGAGATAAGTTTTTTAAAAAAACTAATCTTTGACTTTGCAATGTTTATATCGACGAACTTAACGTTAGTGTTAGCCATTTAGGATTTTATAGAAACATTAATAATCATTTTATAAGAAACTTCATATAATCCACTAAACAAAATTATCATTATCATAATAAAAAACAATGGTTAAGCTAAGCCAACCAATTCAAGTTTCCTTTTGGTTCACATCTTATAAAATAAACTTTAAAAAATTTTGGAAGCGCTCAACTTAAATAACTATTATGCGTGAATTTGTGAATTTTGTAATTCACGCGCATGAAATTCAAATTAGCAAATCAGAATTTTGTATCTAAATACCCACACCAAAATTTCTCTGTGTGAAAAAAAATACGTCTTTTTTAAACGAAAAAAACATCATACGAAATTAAATCTGGGTAGTGATTGTATCCGTTGATTATCCGGGTGTTTGAGTACTTGTTCAATCAATAAAACTCAACACCCGGATTGTTAACGGATTAAAGTTAATATGGTTTCGGATAATTTGGTTCTGGAAAAACTAAAGGGTTAGGTTTCGCCCAAAACACTAAGCAGATATACTGTAATTTGTTAAATGTATCAAAATTATGAATATTTTGAAATAGTTATGAATATTCTAAACAAAACAATATTTAAAATAATTACGAATATTTACGAATATCTGAAATAATTTACAATGAATAAAATAAAATCGCTAATACATATTCGTCGTACAAGGTTACGATTTCTTTAATATTAAGCTTATTAATTATCGTATGTAATTCTTTTTTTTATGATAATGAGAATATTTGAATATTTAAGACTCTTTCTTAGTTCTACTCTTGTAACAAATTATATATATTAAAAAAAAAATCTTCCTTAGTAAATCACGTGATTGTTAATTTCTACAAATGTAAAATACTAATACAAACCTACGACATTCTCTGAAGGCTTAAAAACATTAACCACCAGAAAAACTGACAATTGTTACAATTTTCCAAAACGATTTATTACTGCAGCTTCAAAGCAACAAATATTTGTGTTTATGCTTCTTTTTATTAATTTTCAAAAAAGATTATATATCGGAATCTTTTAATAATTGAAAATGGTAAACCTAAAGAATTTTTATAAATCAACACTCAACACACTGATGAAAAGAAATAATTAAAAGCGGGCCTTTTAATCCAACAAAATCTTGTCACAGCGGATAAACGGGACACATAAAAAATTTTATTCAAAATACGTTGTGACAAGAATTTAATTATAGTCCGTTTGACTGCAATTGTGTAATTGCACTTTTTTGTTTGGATATTTGAAGAATCAACAACATTGGACAATTTTTAAATTATTATCATCACACCACCAACATCACAAACAAGGTTTCTTTTCTCTTGCTTCTACTTTTACTAAAATGGAAACACGATTACTTGTGTTTTGGAATTATTATAAGCAGACGGTCATTTTCTTGATTTGGCTTCCATTTTTCTCCCCAATTAAGCAATTAATTAATTCTACATCCTATAAAAATCAAATAACAATCCAGATATTTTGGCTTAGCACAACCCTAAAATGAAATGGTGCCTAAAAAATTTCATATACAACAAAATAGAACTGGCATCTAATAATAACTTTCAATTAGAAACAAGTCCTAATTTTTGCTACATAAAGAATTCTTTACTGTAATTCTTTGGGGATGACTTCTACCACATTACAATGAACTTTTAATCCATTTTTTATAATTTATAAGAACCTCAATATAGTAGCCAATTTTTCACAGTATTAGTATTTATCTATTTTGACTTTTCCGTGATACCTAAATTCGGAAGTATAATTTCCAAAAAAAATTTTTGCCCCAGAAAAACTTAATAATAACTCTACATAAGCCGTGGATAAAAACAAATAAACCTATTAAAGAATCGAATAGTGATGTAAATGTAAATTGTTTGATTAATATAGATATTGACCATAAAGATATCTTTAAAAAAATATAATTGATTTTGAAATTTCCTTTATTTTAACCCGAAAGCTTCTCTTGATAATATAGAATCACTACTATAAGGCCAATGTACAAAAGTTTATTGTTACGTTAATTAAATGTGAGCTGTTTCGCTAATAACACCAGAGGAAGACGTATCCTCTCAGGTTTTATATGCCGGGACCATATTGCTGGTGCATCCCAAATTCTTTGACTTGGTGACATTGCACGTAATTACACTACAAATTTTGAAAGATACAACTTTTGATCATCTGACTGATTTTAAGATTTTTAGGAAAATGAAAGATTGAGAGGAAGAAATTGTAATATGCATTGACAGAGTTATATACAAGGAAAAAAGAAATGATAACGCTGATGTTAATAATGTTGGTAATAGCAATCAATTAAGTAACAAAATAATTAATGATTACTATAATATATATTGATGGTAGGTCGCAATTTAAATTCCATGTTGGTAGTTTGTATTGTAAATCATTAACATACAATGAATCTTTGCTTGTTACATGTTAATTCAAAATTGCTTTTTCACAACATGATCCGTTTCTGTTGTCCACGCCCATTAAGTGTGTGATATTTTTTATAAATATGCTTGAAATATTATTTATTGTTTAAAAGATTAATTGTTATACGAGTCATGGAGCTGGAGGTCGATTTATTAATGGACGCAACATTAAACAATTACATAATTGTGCTGTATCTACTATAGTGATGGGTTGTGATAGCACCAAGAAGATGTTCCTCATTAGATTACATGTTAGTTGGTAGTTTTTTTAAATTTACTATATTTCTTATTATCATTTTAATTTTGTATTTTATGTTAATATGTATTGAAAAATAGTCCAGCATTTGTTGGAAATTTGTGGGCAGTATATGAAAAGACCCGGGAGGAGACATTGAAGCAATATTTCAAAATGAGGTTTGACACAAGAAAAATCAATGACAATAATGTGTCATTGGGATTAGATGAAGCAATTTTACTTGCAAGAAAAAAATGCAAGTTAAAAGATCTGATTGGGTGGCATCTATTATTCATGGTATCTCTTGCTGCTACTATCAAAAATAGTTGAGTCATTCTACAATTTAGGATGCTCAGATGAAAATAACTACAAGTCGCATGATCATGGATAATTATATTTTGATTGTTTTTCTATACATACTAAATCGAACATTATGCCCAAAACTTTCGAATATCCGAATATGGAACACTCACTACCTTTTTTATTGTCCAGGCCCCATATTATATGGTTTGATTAATTAACTAATAAAAATTAACATCTTTACATTTTTATTTTTGTATTATATATAATTTTAAAATTTTTATTATTAAACTTTTATAACAACAATAATATGAATTTTTTTTTTATACTAAGGAAAGATTGTAAAAATGAATTAATTAATGTATATTATTATTATTTTTCACTAAATATAATCCAGATACCAGTAAATCTGGAAACCTTTTGAATTTCTTCTATTTGCTTGTTTTGTTTTAGATATTTGTTTCTAAACAAGCAAACAAACAAACACGAAGAATTATTCAAAAAAACAAAATGATCTTCATTCATTTATTTATTGTCTTCCACTTTACTTTCCTTTAAAATAAAAATATGAATCTGCTATAGATCTGATGATGTTGATGATGATGCACTGCATTCTTTTAAGATTGTGATGATGTTGATGTCGTTGATTTTGGTGTGAACTTTATTTTATGTAATACTTGATGTTTCATCTTTACCTGATAATAAATTTGGATTTGGCAAATCAACAAAAAGAAATCCTTTTTCTAAATATAAATTTGTCAAAGATGAATTGTTGATGTTGTTGCTGTTACTATTAATAATAACTTGTTCTTTATAAATTGGTTCACCTGATTGATTATAATGAATATAACTATTATTATTGTTAATAAATTATCAAAAGAGTTAAAGATGACATTTAAAGTTAATATTTAATATAAATATGTGTATACACTTTTTAATCATATTAAAAGGATACGGTAAACGTAATACTATTAAACTATTTTTTGGTAATAAGATTCCTTTGAATGATTGCTCATATTCATCTTTATCAAATAATGGTGATACTACTTCTTGTTTATTTAAAGTGCTCTTTTTTATATATATATGTATATTTTTATCAAAAAAAATTTAAGAATTAAAAATTATTTATATCATATATTTAATAAAGAAAAAATTTTTTTTACCTTAATCATGGGCTTTAAAGTAAGTGATAAAGAAGAATCAGGTGTGACAATAATTACACGCTGTAATTGAGCCATGATGGCTTTATTCGAATTATTATTGTAATTGGAATTATTTGAACCATTAATGGTACTACTACTACTACTATTATTATTAACGCTACTACTACAAATACAAGCAATATATATTGGTAGATCTTGTTCCAAAATACTATGTGCGGGTTCCTTTAAAAAATAATTAAAATTAATAAATTAAAAAATATCATTATCGTTATTATCATTATAGCAATACCTTAATATGACTAGAGTGTCCTAATTTATAAATTTGTCGATCTCCACAACTCATAAATCTATGACCAAGAGGGCACTCATACTCTATGCCAACATAACCTTTTAAAGCTAAATTATCACTTTTTAACGAAGAGGAAGAACTTGAAGCTACTGGTGCTGTTATTTCTTTTTGAGTTAATGATAATGGTGATGGTTTATCACGTTCCTTCTTTTGATTAATTTTAGCAGCACGTTTAGCAGCACGTTTCTCCTTACTATCAGATGTGGTGGCGGCAGTGTTTATCGGCTGATGCTCGACAAATTCGATTGAGTTAAGTTGTGCATAACGAACAAACTTTAGACAATCATTCAGGTTAAATATTGATGACGATGATGATGTGGAAGTCCATTTTGGTAGATCTATAATAACAATAATATTTTTTATTAAACTATTATAGTATTTAAAAAAAGAAAAAGAAATTTCCTAATGATTTATGATGAACAGGCATACTTTCATTATTATTATTAAAAGCTGACCAAATTGACCCACCATCAATCTTAATCTCGTCTGATTTCATTTTATATTTAAGCCCTTTTCTTGTAGTAGGATTAACCAACTTTTCTTCTTTATTCTTAATTTTTTTTAACTTGGTCCAATCACATCCTGCAACATTCATTGACCATCCATTAGCATCCTTGATCCTAAACAATTCCTCTTGTACAAATTGAGGTCGATTGACAATTAGAGGAATGTCGAATGGCAAAAGAAAATTTGCATTTGTAACAAATCCATCCCAATTATCAAGTCCAGCGCTTGGTTTGTACATTGATCCTGATCCTAAACGAATAATTGACCACATAGAAGAAATGATGGTGGAGTTAGTTACTTGAGGTAGTATGAAGCAACCATTCCCATTTGATTTACAACATCCAGGAAATTCAAAAAATAATTTATTTGCTTTCTAAAAATTATATCATTATAATATTAATATTTTATGATGAAAATAAAAAATTAATAAATCAAAATCATTTACCAATAAATCAAAAGGATCCTCTCTATCTCTTCTACTTCTACCACAATTACAAGCTTGTAAAGCCTGAAATGCACTTCTATGTTTTTTATCACTATCAACATAATGATTTGCCTACAAATATAATTGTGTAGATATTAATTAACAAAAAAAAAGGCATATTTCTAATAGATTATAACACATACTCCTAATACGCATTCATGTCCAGAAAGACTCTTTTTTTCACATTTTTGTCTACCGCGTTCCCAAATATTTTGGCATTCAATTTGTAACTTTTGAGCATATTCTTGTATACAGGGTCCACGAGCGGAAGCTAAATAAAATTGCATCGCATGCTCCAACTAAAAAAAAACAACGCCAAAGTAAAATTATAGTACATAAAAAAAAAAAAAAAGATAACGAATTAATATACATATATTGTTAACATGGAAAAAAATATTTGACACTAACCTTCATTTTATGATATTTTTGAGGATAATAAGTAGGCGATTCTAATAAATAGATATCAATAGCTTTTCTTAAAGCCTGAGCACAATGACTTTATAATGCCAAAGAAAAAATTTTTTAAATATAATATAATAATAATTAATAAATTCAAAAAAAAATCATTATTACTTTGCAGAAAATCTATCATTAATTTGTAAACAATCTTGTAAACGACGTTTTATAACATCATCTATCAAATTAAAACTTTTCTTCTCCAAAATTTCTTTTCCAAAATCACCAAATAACAATTCTTTTAAAGCTATACAACCAGATATCCACTGTTTTCCATTAGGAAGCTAACCAATGTTCATGTATATATTTATATATATCAATTAAAACTTTAATTTCTTTAAAAAATATTATATATTTTTAAAGTATCGATTTACTTACCTCACTAAACGTAAGTCCGCGTTTCACAAAACTTCTTGGGTAACCAGTAACTGACCACTTGAACCAGCCAAGAGCAAAGTCTTTTAATAATTTAATTTCAAAATTTTCAGCACTCCTTGATTCTGCCTTTCGTCTTTTAATTAATGCATCAATGCTCAATGTGGTAGTGGTGGTATTGGTATTTTCTTGAAAAGTTGTTGATTTGATGTTTGTTAATAAAGCCAAGGAAGGATTTGGAGAAAGAAAATTTCCGGTAGATCCACGAGTAATTAAATGAACAAAGAATTGGGATGAAGGAGGTGGAAGTGTGAAAAGTTGTCGACTAAAATCATTGATTAAATGGTCATAACAATTGTAATAATAGTAGCTTTAGTATCTTTTATATATTATTATTTTTTAGTTCGTCTTGATAATTATATATCTTACCTATCAAAAGTAGCATGTAAATCACTGGTTTGGACAAGATGACATGTACGAAATAAATAACGAATACGTGATTGTAAAGCTTCTTTAATCCTTTTAATATTACCAGGGATTGTCTATCAAAAATATAATTATTATTTATAAATTTAATGAAGAAATATTAAGAATCTATATCATTAGGCAAACTTACTCTGTCAAAGTTGTTTTCTGATTTATTGGGGTCTTGATTAGAAGTTACAGATAATTGAATCTTCAAAAAGATATTTATCATATATTAATATCAACATAAATATATGAGAACTTTGAAATTGATTATTTACCTCTTGAAATAAAAAGATAAGGAAAGGAACACATCTACCAGGAGACATAATTGCACCTTGAGTAGATCCATTTCTTCCACCATAAACACCAACACCACCACTACCAGTATTCGGTGGACCATACGAAGATGGTATTTCTAACTTTTGCCAACATAAATTCATAAAATTGGTAACATGTGGAGCAATATGTCGTTTAACAGATGATAAGATTTGGAGCATTGATATTAAATTAATATCTAATTTTGATAATGGTAATACTAACTTAAGATTATTATTACATAAAGTAAATAAGTACGGTGCATTATGCACAATAATAATAAATAATATTTAATAACTTTAATAAATTCTATTTCTATTCCACTATTGAAGTGTAATAGATTTACACACACATACCGCCACCACATGAGATAACATAAACATATAAATAAGCATTTGATAATAATTATGTTCATGTTTCAACATCCAGTTTTGAAAATCTCGCTTTAAATTTTTATTTATTTGAAAAAAGATAATAATATGAACTAATAATGATGAATGCTCTTCAAAAAACCAAAATTTTATAATTATTGTTAATTGATCATTTACCTCATTATTTATAATGGGTCTTACTTCTTCCAAAAGTGTCAAAAGTGTCTCAGATTCATTAATTGAATCGATCAATAGATAAACGGTATTTTTTGTTAGATCACAATACATCCATAATCCACTCTAAATATAATAAACAAATGTGATTTGAGTTAATTTTGAACTAATCAGAAATAAAAATGATAAAAATATTTACATTTTTTCCATTTTGTATAAGAAGAGTTGCTTTATTAGGATGATACTTGCACTGATTATCAATACATTTATTCTAAATTTTTAAAATTAATTAAATGAATGCTAATATTATTCAAACAACATTATTATTTTTTCATACCTGACCAAAAACGTTCTTTTCAATAATGGCATTAGCAACTGAACTAACATTTGTTGTTGTTTCATTCTGTGACAAACCAAGAAATGAAACAACTGATAAAGAAGAAAAATCACGAACTCCAGTTTTTTCCAATAATTCTATAAATTTAAAATAATTATGATAATGATAATAATAATAATAATAATAATAATAATAGTAAACAATTGACAATTGCTAGTTGTTTTATTTTGTTATTTTAGCATACACTATAAATGAATAACCTTTGTATTTTTGTTTCAAATTGAAAGTTTGAGAGTCTTCTTCTTTAACTGTATCATCAAACCAAGATCCATTATAAGCATTTTGTGAAGTTGAAGCATTACTAGCATTACTAGTGCTTTCTTCCGGATTTGTCATTTAAGCAACCTATTTGTGATTTTTTCCTTCAAGCGAATTGTCCGTCACTTTTACCAAAATTAAAAATGATTTTCAAATACGTATGACGTGTGACGTTTTAATTTTTTAAAATAAAAACCTGTCATTAGTGCTCACAGGACCCCGAAAACCACCGCCAACCGTTTAACCAGTTAAGGATAGTAGTTATGTCGATCATCATAATTAATAGCCCTCGTTTCAACGGACATATAAGAAAATTTCGTTGAATATGAAACAAAATTACTAATACTAATCGCGTTTCAATGAATTTTTATATGTTTTCATAATATGTAACAATGATTTTTAAAATAAGGGTTATACTGTATGGGTATGTCAATTGCGGATTTTGGGATGTAATAACTTTTTATCCAGTGGTCCGATTTTGATGATTTTGGGCTGTTAGAATCGTCTGGATGAGAAAGGTATATGTTGTTCGGCCCTGTACGAAGGATTGGTATGTCATAACGGGTAAAAAATTACATCCAAAGATCCTGGCATAAAATGTATAAATTTGATGTTTCTACAGAGTATACATGTGGTAGAAATAGGTTGATCACTTGACTCAATCAGGTGACTTTTTGACGCAATTAATTGAATCATATGAAAACATAAAAAATTCAGATTTTAGGATTTGAGTCAAAGCCAAGTTAATTTTCACAACATGTATAGTACAGAGAGTTATGTGAAATTGCATTTTAGTGGTGAATTGGGTGCTTTAATATGTCTGTAAGCTGATTTTCAGAAAAAAATAATGTAAAAAGGGGGTTATAATCTTTTTTGATTTTGTCTTTGACAGTTTGTACAGAAGTTGATTGAAATTGACAGTTTTGTGATGATTTTGGATATGATTGATATGGATTTCTGTACAAAGAAGATCTTTGAACATTCTTAGTACAGTTTGTACTGGTATATGAGGCTCAGGGGTTATCCAGCTGAATTGGTGTCATGAAAAATAGATTTTGTTACCTCATGATAGGGGGACACCTAATTGAGAACAAAAACAAAGTTCAGAGACACACTCATCCATCAACCCTTATTCAATTTCTTAATTCCATCAAAGATCATACCATGTGCACCATTGGAACCTTTCCCTATAATTTTATCTTCATCAAGAACATAATTAATTTGTTCTCTTATTGCTTTGGATACCAAACAAATGGACTTTACATGGACTAAGATAATAGATTTACTTACCTGTTGATCAGAATGTGGTATATGAACATTTTGGGCTCAATCATAACTATAATGAGTAGTAGCCTTAATACTGTTTTACCCTTTGAATAATTTTTATCAACCAATTTTCTTTGTTCTTTTGCTAATTTTGAGCAATCCTTTGGTTTCTTCTTCTTGGGAAGCATTGTAAAGTAAACCATTTCGAAAATGTTGACAAATATCATACTTGAATAATTTTCTAAATGCATCATTTCAATTTTATAACTCATTTCAGCTGGTAAAAAATAACTGATTGGATTATTCTCTTGTTACTTCTTCCTAGGCTTGATAATCCGTGACTTTAGCATAATTTTCCAAAAAAATCTTTACAATTTCAGCAACATCTTTGTCAATCATCATTTTAGTTTTCCATTGAGGCATCCTTTTAATATTACCATAAACTCTTTGGTAAAAGACCATGATTTCTGATATTTTCATAGTAAGTCCTACCAACTCCTAACATATTAAAATAAGTTTCTTGACAGAGAGGTACATTGGTAGAAAGTTCTTTTATTAGAACTGGTTTTCTTTTTAAGGTGTCTACTAGTGTTTATTGACTCACCATCCATTGCCTTAAGTTGGGCCATTAAAAATATGTCTTGTTCTGATTTAGTGAGAGCATGAAAAGATTCATGTAATTCAGCAAATTCTTCTTTGGGAATTCTTAAAGAATAACAACAATCACAACCTTTTCATATTCAGTGGATATAAATATCCAAAGAATTTCCTGATGTTGATAGAATCCTAGAAAAGTTACAATGATCACAATAGTTAAAATTTAAATCAATGCCAAAGTAAGGTTGTGGGCGAAACCTCCTTAGTAATTACTGAAACCACGGCAAAACTATATTAAATCTTGTCAAAAATCCTGTTGAAACTATGCTGAAATGGCGAAACCTCAAAATGCAAAACTCTGCTGAAACTCTAATAAACAATTAATGTGTAACCTGCCGAAACCCTGCTGACTGATTTCTGGAGGAGTTTCGACAGGCAACCTTATGCCAAAGTAATATTACTTGATTTGATATGTGTAAGGTTCCAAACAAATCAAATCAATTTGAACTGATTCGAATCTATGGCAATCGTTATCATCCATTAATTATATCTATTATTTAGATTTAGTGAATTTATTAATGAATTGTACGATTGTAAATTGTATTACTTTTTATTCATCATTACATTATCATTATTGTTATCAATTAATAATATTATTATTTAGTGATGATGGCCAACGGAATTAATTGGCCTAAACTTAGGCGAAACTAATTTTATAGCTGAAATTGGGCGAAGTTTTTTTACAAATAGTTTTGGCTACTAATAAATTTTAAATTTTAAATTTAAAATTTTAAAAAATATAAACAATCTTGGTTTAAGCAGATAGTTTCCAAAAATTCGTTATTATTATTATTATTATTAAACCATTCTTGGACCTCAATCATTAAATCGAGGTACACTAGTTTGTGTAATATATGAAATTAAAAAAATATAGGAATCCGGTTTGGTTCGAATAGAATCGTTCGAGGACTTAGTTCAAGCGCATTTCGTCCAATTCAAGATTCATCACTGAAATAAGGATATTGGAATTTTTGATCCTTTATTCTACTTCTACTAGCTTGGCTTCCTCTCAAGTCTATTCAAAATTCAATTATTTCTAAATACAAAAAATATTGATCATCTGGCTTAATTCTTACTTTTTTGCTGATGTTAGGGTGCTCGATTCTTCTTGATGCATTCACAACAGTCCCGTAGACGTAGCCCGGAGGGGAATATGCAATCCGCTTGAAGATCCATACACTACAACGATGCGTAAATCATTAGAGGGGGACCGTAATTCACCTCGTAGTCGTGGAAGTTAGATATCTTATCCAACTAGATGAAATCCCCATACTGCGTGCGACTTCATATGCTATATGTTATATTGGAAAGACACTACGTAATAACTTCAAACTTTCTGATCAAGATGTTTGCTTATTCTCGAACTTCCAGTGAGTCTTGCTGAAACAGACGTTCAAGTGATTTCATGAGTCTGAAAATTACTTTGAAAGAATAACTAAATCACTTTGGGAGCAGCATTTTTTGTAGAAGTCTAAACAGATCCACCACTCTGTAAAGGAGTCGCAGTAAAGTCAGAGTATACAGTTTTTGTGAAAATTTTTTTGGGGGGTATAATGACATCTGAAACACTAACAGTCACGGCATGATGTATCATGTTTATCACTTTGTGACGATCTTGATATTGACAGGTGTCACATAAATTTGTTCATAATTTATAAAAGGCATCATATTTAATACTGTCTTCTTCCGGACCCGCAAGAAAGTCTTTGATGGGCTGTTCTGTAAAGAAATTTTTACAAAAAACTACATATTGATATTAATATAATTAACTTTCCGTGTCCAATTTTATCACGTGTACCTTTCGTAAATCATTTCCGATTATTTTCAATTAACATGTTGGGCTTATTTTGGAGAAATAATTAGTCAACAATAGCCTTTCTTATATCAAAAGTTCATGATAGGTAATACTAAAAGAACGCCTCAGCGAAAAAACAAAGATGGTAAATTGACAAAAAATGTTGCTGAAGCTGCGAATAATTTTCTTGAGAGCTATGCTGAAAGTTCATAGATTACCAAGTCCTGGTAGAAATATAAACTAATGCGTTACATTCGAACGAGGAGAAAGAAGCGGATGGTGACCTACTAAAAAAGTACAAAGAACATTTTATCAAAAGCAAAATTAGAAAAGAAACGATTATAACCAAAACACCAAATTAACCGAAGAACAAAAAGGTTTTAATCAGGATTATTTGATAAGGTACAATATTTCAGTACTCTACTTTTACCAAAGTGAGATTTTAATTAATGATGGATGATGAATTAGATAAGCGTGATGAATTAATTAATTTTACAATTTAGTTGTCAAATTATCAGAGAAAGGAATTTTTTAATCAATGATTATCAATAATGTATCAAAAGTTAAAGATGGTGGGTGAGTTAGATTTATTATTATTTTATTTTTATTACATTTTAATTTTATTTTATTCTAAATTTTTGAAACTTAATTTTTTTAAAAAAAAAATAATAATATAAATTATATAATAAACTAATTGTTTTTCTTTAAAAAAATATAGTTAATTTTATTATAATATTTCCTATATATATTTATAAAATTTTATATTTTATTATATTTAAATTTTTTGAAAATAAAATTTTATTTTCAACTTTTCAAAAAAAAAAAATGACTTTTAATAATAGTCGAGAAAATAGTAAGTTTTAAGGATAAAATCAAAAAAAAATTAACATATAATAATATATAAAAATTTATTATTTTTTAGAACTTAAACGTAAATTATCACAATCTTCAACATCATCATCTTTATCACAATCATCAGCAAGTAATAATAATTCTGAATTACTTGGCAACACAAACGACGCTGCTAGCGCTAGTAGTAGTGGCAGGAATAGTAATTCCAATAAAAAAAAAATCACAAATAACAAAAAAAATAAAGGAAAAAAAAAAAATAATAATATTAGCAATAATAATAGTAGTAGTAGTAACAGTAATAGAAGACCATGGACAAAAGAAGAGGACACGGAGCTGTTTAATGCAATTACTGTTCAACTTGGAGGAAAATGGAAAGAAATATGTAGTCAGTCACCATTATTACAAGCTCGTGGATCTGGAATGATTTCACAGCGTTGGAAAACCAAAATTAGATATTTTGTAGGATAAATATTTTTATAAAAAAAATTTATTATTATATATAAATAAATTACATACATATATTATTTAGAAAATTAAATAAATGACTGTTGAGTAATTATAATAAAATTGGTGCAATAAGTTACTTAAAATATAACAACAAACAAATGTAAGGCTTTTACCAATTATAACCAATTGATCCGATCCAGTAATTTGGATAGCATTCCTTTATTATTTAACACATGTATATATACACAAGAAGCTAGCACACGTTTGAAAGTTGATTGCGCAAAAACATACTTAATAATAATTATACAAAATCGTCATTTTGTAGCTAAATTATATTTGCAAAGTTTCATATATCCAACGTTTCTATTAAACCAATAATGACTAAAAAATAAAATTCCGACCAAAAATTTTGATAACCACACATCTGAAATTTTGGCATGTGATGATAATCTATGTCGTTTTGAATTTTTTTGCAACGAAACATCATTTTTAAATTTTGGGAATTGTTATTCGCACCCCCCATTTTTGTTATTCGCACCCTCCCGTGACTAAGTGTAGTAATGTGACCAATGAATGGCTTTAAAATGTGATGATTTTATTGGTTCATCTTTGTTTTAGTCACAGGAGGGGTGCGAATAACAAAAATAGGAGGTGCGAATAACAATTCTCTATAATTATAATAATAATAATAATTATTATTATTATCTCTTAAACGGTCAGAGTATTCTTTGATGGTAACACAAATTAAAATTTTGACCATTCTTATTGGTCAATTTAACGATCAGCAAAGTAAAACAACTGGATTTTTATTTATAGATTAATCGGCTATCAATAGCCGATTAACCGTTTAAGGGATAATAATTATTATTATTATAATTATTATTATAATTTATTATTATTATTATTATAATTTATAATTATAATTATTATTATTATTATTATTATTATTATTATTATTATTATTATAATTTATAATTATTATTTTTTATCTTGTTATTATTATAATTATACACGAAAATCTAGCCGATTTTGGAAGCAATGACAATGATAGGGAATAGTGTGTGCAACATAAATAAGAAAATTTTTTATCATCATCAACAGTCATTAAGAAAAAATACATCACATCAATGGCTTCGATTGAATTAAATCAATATAAAGATGTAATATTTCCTAATCTTGATGTTTCGCAAAAGGCCATTGTTGATATACTTGAAGCTTTTCGACATTTAAAAGAATCACATATCAAAATTTCTGGCAGGAATAATGATGTCAAGAAATTAGATAAGTCAAGTAGTAAGTTTAATGATTTAGTTGTTAGAATAGCCAAAGGGTCTTTAAAAAAGTCAATGGATTTGAAGGATTTCACAGAATACTTTAAGATGCTTACAGAAGATAATGTTACTTCCAATGATTTGTTGCAAACATTATTAGTACTAAAGGATATGGCAAAGCAGAGAATTAGTGACTCTGAGGAATTAAAAAATGACTTTGAACAATTTAAAACATCCATCGCTGAAAACATTAGTCAATCATCAAAAAGTTTTGGTGATAGTGATGTGGAGCTAGTACAACGAAATCAATTATTACAAATTACAGATGGTAGCGTCACTTTTGGATATTGTGCTTATTACCATAAAAGAATATCTAGGAAATGGAACCATTTAACTGGACTTAATAGGGAGAACAGCATCACTATAATGAATGATGAAAGGGAACAAAAAAAAATTCAGAAATATGAAGAAAAAATATCCACAAAATTGCCAGTAATTTTAACACATTTAGAGACATTGGTACAGTTTTGGAAGCAACAATATGATATTTTTGAGTCGCATATCAATGTATTGCGATCGATGGATAGAAATGTGAATCTTAGTTTACCAAAAAATTTAACAGCTGGAATCATTGAGAGGTGTACAGCTGAAGAGATCAACTGCAAAGAATTTCATCAGATGTTAAATGATAGTGCTTTTAAAAATTCTTTTATACGTTTAGATTAATTTTATACTAATCATATATACATACTTTTAAGTCACTTATGTTGTATGTTTATGATTTCATAATAAATTTCTTGGTATTGTTGTTGTTTCGTTATCAATGTATCTAATTTCAGTGGCTGAGTTTTTAAAGATCATACGTAAAACCTTCAAACATTATTTCAATGCCTTATAAATTAATGTCACTTCATCAAAACTTCGTCATTAACTTCAACATCCAAAGAATTGTTTGCTCTCGGTCGCGTTTACTTCGTCGAAAATTATTTCTTCGACAATCATTTCGTCGACACCCATTTCGTCGAAAGTTTGTTTCATCGAAAGTTCATTTCGTCGAATGTTTGTGAGGAGTGTGGGAAGTTAGTTAAGAAATTAGGTGAGGAAAGCGGAGTGTGTGGGAAGTGTGAGGAGAAATTTGTTTAATGAAGTTTTTTTTTGTGACGAAATAATTTTCGATGAAATGAACTTTCGACGAAACAAATTTTCGACGAAATGAAAATTTGACGAAATGAACTTTCGATGAAACAAACTTTCGACGAAATGGGTGTCGACGAAATGAATCAGACCCCAAAAATAAAAATAGAAATAGAAATAGAAATAAAATTTAAATTGACCCGGAATTATGAGATCCGTCCAAATATCTGCGTCAAAGTCTAATTTCAGCAACACCTGTATTAATTTCATTGGCCAATCTTGTGTGACACTTTTACATTTTCTTAACAACAAATACTTTATATTTATTTAAATGAGATTTAAAACCTAAAATATATCTTTTAAATTTCTAAATAAATTTTCTGAGAAATGTCACATAAACATAATAAGTGAAAGAAATAAAGATAAAACAAATAATATTTTTTAAAAGTGACACCACTCACATAAAATTGGTTATTTTAATTATTCATATCATCCTCTAATTTCTTTCCTATAATGTTAGAATACTCTTCACATTCTTTGATTGTTTTCTTCCATCATTCTTCCAAGCGATCAATAATTAATATGTTAGAAGATCTCTGTTCCTTTAAACTTTTAAATTACATGATAAGATTTTCTAATTCAGCAATCTGAATATTCCAGAAGTTTTTAAGATCATTTAAACTTTGACTTATTGAGAAAACATTTTTTCGTAAAATTTTTGATTTTTTGGTCATTTGTTCTTGCTTTGTACTTAAAGTTTCATGTAATTTGACAGCTTCTTTTTCTTTATTTTTAGCAATGCATAAAGTAGTTGTCCCTACTGCTCCCGCTGCTCCTGCTACTTTTGCTGCTCCTACTACTTTTGCTGCTCCTACTGTTGCCACCAATGATGCTGCTGCTCTTGGTATCCCTGCTGCAGGCACAGCAATTATTAGACAAATTCCACCTATAATAAAAGCAATTTTTGTCATTTTATTTAAAAACATTTTTTTAGATTCGGTATCGTTTAAGTTGTCATATTAATATGTTGTAGAATCAATATTTTTCATATTTCCAAAATCAAATTTTAGTAATTCATTATGAATCATTGTCATGTCATCCTCGAGAGTTTTAATTTTGGAGTTGGTTTTTTCTATTGCAGTTTTATTAGTTATAACATCATTTAAAAGTCTATTCAAATAATTTAATTTATATTCAACAGTCCTGTCACCACAATGTTTAATAAGGACCATTAAATCTCCATCAAATTTAGCCAATTCGTCAGATTGTTGAATTGTGTTATTAACAATTGACTGGAATTCCTCTCTACAATTTTTAATCAACTCAATTTTGTTTTCAAAATATTTATTCTCAAAATCCAAAGTCACATTACAAGCATTTCTAAATAATTCGAATGTATTTTTAATTGGGAAAGATAAAGTTTTTATTTTAGGAGGATCTGAAAGCTCGTTTGTCATCATTTTCAATTTTTCAATTAAAGGGATTTTTTTTTTTTTTAGTTCTGTAAAAAACGATTAATATTAAATTGGAAATAATGACAAGTCTTAGCCGTGTGCAACGTAAAGAAAGAAAATTTCTCTCATCTTCAAACAGTTATTAATACAAATTGGCTTTGATTGAATTAAAATAATATGAAAATATAATATTTTCTGATCTTGATGTTTTGCAAAAAACTATTGTTGGTCTACTTGAAGCTTTTTGACATTCAAAGAATCACATATCAAAGTTTCTGGCAGTAATGACGATGTCAAGAAATTAGATAGATTAAATAGTAAGTTTAATGATTTAGTTGCTAGAATAGCCAAAGGGTCTTTAAAAATGTCTATGAATTTGAAAGATTTCATAGGGCGCCAATGAATAACTTGTTGCAAACATTATTAGTACCAAAATGTGGTAAAGAATTTGTGATTGACAAATTAAAAACATCATCGCTTTAAAAGATGATGTGATACTAGTACAACGAAAACAATTATTCCCAATTTTCAAGGCCAATACATTTCCATTGCGAATTAAGTGATATCTAACATTCTAACCTATTTTAATCGGTTCCAACCTTTGCTTCAGCAAAAGCTTTTATCAAAATTATATGTTACCTTGATTATAATCTGGATCCTCATATTGCAGTGATATTAACTCAAAATTGGATTTTTTCAAAACATATGGGGGCGTGCGTGGACAATAAGTGTAATATCCCATATTTTTTCAAACAGTCACAATAACATGTAAAGATATAAATATATCAAGTGATGATATGTTTTCTGCAAACAAAAATGTTTGCAGGATTGGATACCAAAGCTTTAAATAAATTTATTATAAATATATAATTTATATACTCATTTAATACTATACTTGTAATAAAATCAACTTCTTTCCGTCATTCAATTTTTTTTGGAAACGAGGAAATAAAGCAAAAGTTTGATATAATGATTAACTTCGAGTGCACAAATATTTCACCTTACCTCTTCAAAGAGGATATACCCTCCATGTTTCGTATCAATTTTATCAAATTCTGCCTCAAGTTCTTCATCTAAATTCGCATTCATCCCAACAGGCTCGTGTCCTTTCTTGAACTGATATATTTCTGAAACTGCTTGTACAGCTCATCATAACAATAAATAAGATTAGGGAAATTACCAAATTTACTTGAGTCAACGAAACCATCCTGATAAGCGATTTAATGTGACAGAGGTGTAAAAACTTTCCAATATATATATGTAAAGTGAAAACCGTTTTACGTAACACAAACAAACCTTTAAAATATCAGTAGCTTTGTAAGCTCGATTATCTTTTGCAAAATGTGGATAGGGCTCAATTATAGCTTTATCAATTTCAGTAAAACTTGTCAAAAATCTATGACAACAATTGAAACCAATATATTCGTATTCATATTCGTATGAAATATAATGTATCATATAGATTTAACGTTTCAAAAACAAAAAAAATGTTAATTACCTTCTTAATCTGGGCTTTGTCTAGTTTTTCTGTCATGATTATTTATTAGGGAATAAAATTCTGTATCAATTTCATTGGCCAAATTATGCACACGAATTGTTGGCTTTAGGATTATTTTTATTTTCGTGGTGGGTTTAAAACACAACCAATGCTTTATTTAAATGATAATGTAATGACAAAGCATTATAATAAAATTTAAAATCCTAAAATATATCTTCTAAATTTCCAAATGAAATTTCTGAGAGATATCACATAAAATAAAACGTGATAAGCGAAGGAAATAAAGATAAAACAAATATATAATATTTTTAAAGATCTTTCACTAATTCATCTCTTGTGACGTTAGAGTAATGTTCACATTCTTTAATTGTTTCCTTCCACCGGTTTTCCAAGCGTTTAATCATTGATCCGTTAGAATGAGGTCTATTCTTCTCTCTTAAACTTTTTAATGTCTCAATGAGCCTTTCTAATTCAGCAATATGTTTCTCCCAGAATCCTTTAAGATCATTTAAAATTGTGATTATCAAGAAAACATTATTTTTTAAAGTTTTTGATTTATCAATCATTTGTACAGGTTCCCGTAATATGGTAACTTCTTTTCCTTTACTTTCAGCAATGTATGAGGTGGTTACTCCTGCCCCTATTCCTGCTAATCCTACTACTCCTGCTCCTACTGCTACTCTTGCTCCTACTGCTGCTGATGCTACTCTTGTCCCTACTATTGCTGCCCGTGCTCCAGGTATGGCGATTGATAGACCAATTCCACCTATCGTAAAAGCGGCTGTTGTCACTATATCTAAAATTTTTTTTCTAGATTCAGCATCTTTTAAGTTATTGTATATTGTAGGATCAACCTTTTCCCCGAATTTTACTAATTCATCATAAATCTTTTTCATGTCATCCTCAAGAGTTTTAATTTTAGAGTTGGTATTTTCTATTGCAGTCACATTAGTTTTAGCATCATTTAAAAGTCTATCCAATAAACCTAATATATCTTCATTAGAAACATCCTCATCTCTATAATCTTTAATAAGGACCATTATATCTCCACCAAATCTAACCAAATTGTCAGATTGTTCAACTGTGTCGTTAGCAATTGAACGGAATATCCCTCTGCAATTTTTAATTTGCTCAATTTTGTTTTCAAAATTTTTATTCTTAAAATCCAAAGTCACATTACAAGCATTTCTAAATAATTTGAATGCACTCTTAGTTGGGACAGATAAAGTTTTTATGTTGGGAGGATCTGAAAGCTCGTTTATCATCATTTTCAGTTTTCTTTTATAAAGGTAAAAAAAGCATGGGAATTTTCGTTTTTCTTTCGTTTTATAATTAGGAAATACCAACCATTAACGAAAATCTAGCCGATTTTGGAAGCAATGACAATGATAGTAATAGGGAATAGTGTGTGCAACATAAATAAGAAAAATTTTTATCATCATCAAACAGTCATTAAGAAGAAATACATCACATCAATGGCTTCGATCGAATTAAATCAATATAAAGATGTAATATTTCCTAATCTTGATGTTTCGCAAAAGGCCATTGTTGATATACTTGAAGCTTTTCGACATTTAAAAGAATCACATATCAAAATTTCTGGCAGGAATAATGATGTCAAGAAATTAGATAAGTCAAGTAGTAAGTTTAATGATTTAGTTGTTAGAATAGCCAAAGGGTCTTTAAAAAAGTCAATGGATTTGAAGGATTTCACAGAATACTTTAAGATGCTTACAGAAGATAATGTTACTTCCAATGATTTGTTGCAAACATTATTAGTACTAAAGGATATGGCAAAGCAGAGAATTAGTGACTCTGAGGAATTAAAAAATGACTTTGAACAATTTGAAATATCCATCGCTAAAAACATTAATCAATCACCACCAAAAGGTGTTGATGATGATGATGAGGTGGCAGTACAACGCAACCAATTATTACAAATTACAGACGGTAGCCAACCTCAAAATTTTCTGAATGCATTAGCTCAATTTTTACCAGATGTTTTTATGCTTGTATTCACCCTTGTCTCAACACGTGTATTGAATTCTTTCTCAACAGATTCTTTGCCAATAATAGGTCAATCGCTAAAAGATAATACTGAGCTCTCTATTTCTGCTTCAAATGTAAGGCAACTTTTTACCCAGTCCTACCTATCCAGTGTTAATTTGTCTTGTTTGAATCTTGTTATTATTTCTGGATATAGTATTTATAATCGTAAAAGTATATCCAGGAAATTAAAATATTTAATAATTGTTGCAAAAAGATACCATTTAACTGGATTCTATAAAAGGAACAATAACACTATTATGAATGATGAAAGGGAACAAAAAAAAATTCAGAAATATGAAGAAAAAATATCAACAAAATTACCAGTAATTTTAACACATTTAGAGACATTGATACAATTTTGGAAGCAACAATATGGTATTTTTGAGTCACATATCAATGTGTTGCAATCGATGGATGGAAATGTGAATCTTAGGTTATCAAAAAATTTAACAGCTGGGATCATTGAAAGGTGTACAGCTGAAGAGATCAATTGTAAAGAATTTCATCAGATGTTAAATGATAGTGTTTTTAAAAATTCTTTTATCCGTTTAGATTAATCATATATATACATATTATTTGGTTGTGATCATAATAAATTTTTGTGTAAATTACCCAAGTTATTGATCGACCTGTTCATCTGCCTCATTAATCTTCTTTCAGGTGAAAACATATTACGGTAAACACGATAAAAAGAATTCAGGATTTTTCACAAAGGTCTATCTGCAGTGTTTTAATTTAAATTAAGGCAGACGCATAAATCAAAAGTTTGTTATACCAGAGAATATTTATGTCCATTGCAAATAATCCGATATATTCACATCGGTTGTCTTCGTTCATAGTTGAATGATCTCTTGGAAGCAACATTGTTCTTATCTGAAAGAAATATTGATTTTTTTGATTTGTATCTATAACATTGTAAAAAATAAGCTCAAAATTTGAAGAATATGAACAATTTTTTGAATTGCGATGTCAAGTTAAATTTGATCAAGTTGATGCTGGGTTTATGATTGTAAGTGAATATATAATAGCAAGTAGATAGAAACAAACTTGAAGAATAGGAATTGTCATTGTCTTCAGGCGGACCCGATGCATATTCTTTTTTTTTTCTTCTATATTGTTAATGCCCGGAAGAAAGTATCTGAACCCCGTTTTTAATAATATATATATATATACACTTTTTACTATGTAGCTTAAGTTCTAACGAATATCCATTAAAGTCATGGAATGCTACATTTATTATCGATCTATTTGATCTTCACATCTTTTGGGATGAACTCGGGCAAATTGAAAAGAGAAGCATGCTTCCTAAAAATTCGACGAATTTGGAGATTACTTTGCAAGAGGAATGGTCAAACTTTTCTCAGAAAATCTATAAGAAATTAATCAAAAGTATGTGCCAAGGAGGATTGAAGTTCATCTTCACTTAACATACAATTTTATATGCATATTTATTGGAACTTAAGTCACATGATGATATTTTTTCCGGAATAATTTTTTTTATTAAAGCGAGGTTATTTTTTAGTTACCTCCATATTACATAATATGCTTTCATGTGTAATTTAACTGGTCGTGTAACTAACTATATATAAATGGTTTTTTTTTTTCAAAATAAAAACAACTATATATAATAAATACACTTCAAAATGTCAAATAATGACAATGATAACAGTTTTACATCCTTGGAAAATATTACTCGCTTGCTCAGTAACTTTATAAAAAATACCAACTATAATGCTCTACCCTTAAAATACATTAATAAACTTTTAAATGATTTAACGAATTTGTTGAATGAGTCAGATTATTATGATGTAGAGATCAAAGCTGGGGCAGAAAAAGATGACATTGGGATCTTTAGAGCTCATTCTGCCGTTTTAAAAGCAAGGTCTCCATATTTTAAAGCAGCTTTGTCAAATAATTGGATAAAACGATCAGATAATGGTGTTATTTCATTTACAAAAGAAAACATTTCTCCAAAAATATTCGAAGTACTTTTAATGTAAGTTGGTTAATTTAATAATAGAATTATTACACTATTATCTAAAATTTTTTTTCTTCATTATATATATATATATTATTTATAATTTTAAAAGCTACATGTACAATGGAATTATTAATATTGATAACCTAGATGCAAATGAAATTTTAGAACTTCTTGAAGCATGCGATGAATTAAGCTTTAGTGAGTTGATTGATGATTTACAAAGTCATTTAATAAAAGAAGAGGAATGGATTAAACGAAACTTGATATGCATCCATAAAATTTCATCTGATCATCAATCATTCAGTTTACTTCAAGAACTATGTGATAAGTTATATTCTAATTCTCCGGAACTATTATTAAAGTCTGATGGCATGGAAGAAATTGAAAAATCAATGCTTGTTTCTATATTAGAAAAAGATGATTTAAAATTAGACGAGATTGATATTTGGAGTTATGTTATTCAATGGGGAATAGGACAAGATGTAACGTTAGAAAAAGATATTTTAGAATGGACTAAAGATGATTTCAAAGAGTTGCAAGACATATTAAAAGATCTTATTCCATTGATAAGGTTTAATGAAATATCTCTAGTAAATTTCCATGAAAAAATTGAACCTTATCAAAATGTTTTTGATAAAGATGTATACGAAGAACTTCTTGAACATTATCAAAACAAGGAATCTAAACCAAAATCATTGTTCCAAAAGGGTCCAAGGGTTGGAAAAGGAAAGTTGCTAAGTTCAAAAATAAAATTATTAATTTCTAGCTGGATTGATCAAAATGATAAAAATGTTTGCCATTATGATGAAAATAACATACCATATGATTTTAAATTACTTCTTCAAGGCACTCAAGATGGATTTACAAGATCTGTTTTTGAAGAAAGTTGCAATGATACAAAACAGACTATAGTTATCATGAAAGTTAAAGAAACAGGCGAATTGGTAGGTGGGTACAATCCAGTTTATTGGAGTATAAAAGAAAAGTCACCAGAGGATTATTATTGGATTGAAACTGATAAAAGTTTTATCTTCAAAATTGATGAGAATCAATTTGGTAATTCCATATTAAGTAGTGTCAAAAAACCTAAGAGCGCAATTAATCATTATAGTCAAAATTTTGAAACTACTTTGGATAATATAAGATTTCATGAAAACTTGATCAATTTTTATGATTTACGACTGTATAACAGTATTGACAATTCACCTTATTGTTATTACTATTTTTGTAATTCTTCTTCCTACAGTAGTAATTTGAATCTTAAAAACATCAATGAAAAAGTTCACTTGCTAGAAGAGTATGAAGTTTATAAATTAGCAAAGAAAAATCAATAAATTGGCACACACATATATATATATATATAATACATATTTTTTTTCTGCAAATAAATATAATATTTTCATAAATATCCAGTATTGTTATGTAATATCTTTATGGAGATGATTATTTGTTTTTGAAAATGGCATCAAATTATTAATTAGTTGTTTGTTAGTAATAGTGGAAGATAAAGATTTTAACAAAAAATTAAAATTTAGATATTAGGATGATTTTATGCAATGCAAAAAATCAATTCCAAACATACGAACCAATACCCAATCTGAATGAATGAGCCTATATAAAATCACAATTTCTGACATTAAAAAATTATCAAAACCTCAATCCTAACCAGTTATATTGGCCAGTTCTCCGAATCATAAAAAAAAATTTTTTTTCATGTGCCAAAGTGAGACGTTCTATGCCTGTAGCTAATCATAAAAAATAGATAACATGTTAACGGCAAAAATTTTCTCACTTGGCAGCATAATTTTTGACACCAGGTTCTCATACTGAGAATTGGAAGAAATTGTATATACAATTTTTTTTTGTTTCAATTTGATATCCCAATTGGATACTCCAATTCAATAATTTCCTCGCGCCTGGGTTTGCAAATTGTGTCAATGAAAAGTTCATAAACTATGTATGTTTAATAAAATTCAAAAAAAAAACAGCTCTAGAATTGAGTTATTGATACATGTACTATAAATAAAGAGGTAATTCGTATATTATCTCTTTAATTACTATTATTATAATTACTATGAATATTATTAATTTAATAAAGAATTTTTTTCCTCAAAAATTGATTAATATTAATTCATCTCGCGTCAAATTCGGGTCATAATTGTTTGTAAGTTAAAACCCAACCCGACCGCAGTTAAAACTAAACTCATCCACCAATAAATCAGGGTCAAAGCACGAGTCTTGGCCTTTAATATCAATTATTGATAAGTCATTCTAGTAACAAAATAAAACTTGAAGTTAACATTAACATAAGAATGAACTATGATTTTTCCTTATTTTTGTTTCTCTGGTCAGACCATCAAATATCATGGTTTTTTATGAAGTCCAAGTAATACAAAAAATCATTACATTAGCAAGAATATTATACTACGCGTATTCATGTTATTGAATACTGCGTAAAATTAGGTAACCTCGAATGTGGATGAGATAGAATTAATGAAAAATTTTGATTTTGTCAAAAAGCAGTGGAAGGAACCTTGATGTTGATAACATCTTGATTCATTTGGAGTTGATGTACAATCTTTGAATTAAATTCTAGTGATCTTTTTTTTGTACTGTTGCTGTTTCTTTGATGTATATTCCAGAGGAAATAAACGTGATTGGGCTCATTTAATAATGGAGAATATCGAACCTTCTGATTTTTTATTATTATGTGGGATATTTTATAGTGATGTTAGCCGGTAGAAAAACCTTAGCCGGCTAAGAACTTGAATAAATTTTTTATCTAATAATTTATTAGACAAATATCATACTTTGTATGAATTCACTAAAAATCGGGGTATTATTTTACTAATTGTGCGTGAAATTTAAATTGGCCAATCAGAAATTTGTATCCAAAAATAATAAAATCACTGTTGATGAATATGGTAAAAAATTCTAGCCAGCTAACATTTGATCAAATGAATTATTTATTCTTAT